TATAGTCTTAAATATTATACTTTATATATATTTTAAGAACTAGCTAAAACCACACCTTTATCTAGTCAGGATCTTTACAGAAGGCTCTCTAAAAGTTATATACACATGAAAAACGTGTCTTAAGCTTAGAGCAGTATTATATAAAGTTATATAACTACTGCTTACTAACAGGTTTTGTGTGATGTGTCTTGCAAAGAAGGTTAGCTATATCTTGTACGTTATTAATCCGGGGTAGGAATTCTTACGAATCTAGGTCAAGGATATATTATACAAGTGTCTCTTTTTTAGTCAGGATTAAAATGTGTTAAGTATTATACTCTTTAGCCTTTAAGGTATAGCCTTTTATATAATTATAGAGAATAGTTTAAGAGATGTTATACATCTTTGTAACACATTAGATTAATATTTCTTACTTGTCTTAGCTAGTTAAGCCCTAATAAGTACGTACATTATTAATATCTGCAGCTAGCTTTGCATGCAAGCTTTAACTAACACACCGCTGGTAAAGCATACGCCAAACCCTCTAATATTTGTGGAGTATACTTTTCTTTTATACCTTATATTAGTCTAATATCCATTTTTAGAACATTATAATGTCCTCTTTAGAGCAATGCTAGAGAAAGGCTAGGGGATCTTTATTTATTAATTTACAGAACCTAGAACTAATTAGCTTACCAACAAAGTTAATATCGTTGATTAAGAGAAACTTACTTTTTCCACCGTTTTTTTATCCCTCTAATGTTGTTCTTAGTGGAAATGGCATGATGCTTTTTAATAGTCCCTTTCTCAGCCAACTACTGCCGGTGCCAACGATAGTGCTCAGCTATCAGCGAGTGTAAATCTTGAAATTTCTGCACGCCTATCCTGCAGTCTTCTTAGTCTGTGTGGCACCTTGGAGATAAAAGAGGACAAGAACAGAGTGGAGGTGGATGAAGAGGTAAATAGATGAGATGGAGAGCCGTATTTTAAGCTTGTAAAAAGCTGCTCCGAGTAGTGGTCGTCGAGGGAACCTGTTGTGAAGGGTGAATGTAATAGGCAGAGGCCATCGCGTCTTTATAGTTGAGAGGAACTCCATGACTACTAGTGATACCTCTGATAAGGTGCGAGTACAGTGCATCAAAGGGAGCAGTTTCTGGCGGTCGGGCAACCAGGGGCCCAGAAAAGGGAAGTTATTAGACTGGGTGACAAAAAAGGCGGTAGCACGTCACATGACCCATGGTGCAACAGACGCCGAAAGCAGCGTCAAAAACTGCCTAAATCAGCGTCCTATGTCCCGGAATCTAGAGTTGTGAGGTAGTACTGTACTACTACTTTAGTACCTAACTAATTTGATCTTGATATGTGGCGCAGGCGAGTACTTGGCCAAATGGGCGCCCAACTTCAACTGCAGGACTCGCACAACACCACAGCGCAGACCAGACGGATCCCAATCCCAAGTCTGTACCTTATGCTCTGACCATAGAATCGCCAGTCTCACAACTATATGCGCTTGAGTTCATTCAGCAGGTTAGGGTCAAGGTCGGAGATGGGCTGAGATCATCAAGGAGTAACTGCTCAGGACTTCTGTTGCGCAGTCCATTTCACCAATCCCCTACCTACAACATTGCTTTCTGGAGATACACGCTCAGCTCGTTGGATGCAAGATGCAGTTCCCAAAGCTCACTCCCCTCCAATCTCGCCTAGCAGCGACTCTTGCCGCTTCAGCCCTACTCGTACTACTCTTCTTCTCCCTTACGAGTCCTCAATTCGCATATGCCGCAGAGCTCGACCCCAGAATACCCCCTGACCACAATCATCCAATCGCTTTAGACTTCTGTGGGACAATGATGGAAATGAAAGAAGAAGAAGAAAGGGTTGCATTAGACTGGGAGCCCCATGAATCGTCTATACGCAAAGATCTTGTTAGGAGAGCCCCTTCTGGAGTCTTTGCGCTGTCCAACAACGATCCTCAGAGCATGGATATTGGTGCTGGCCTAACGCAGAACTGGGTCTTCCCGAAGGAGGTGATAGCAGGTCCTCCAGGAGTGATTGGGTCTGGGCTACCGTCCGAAGATATTACAGAGGACGAAACAGCACAGACTCGAAGCGAGCTTCGAAAACGGCAGGAAATCAAGACAGTCCATATCACGCTAAATACTTGCATGCAGCCTGCCCTCAATACTTTAGCCTATCCGGCCGATATAGGCGGTGGAAGCCCGCCTCAGCTACAGTTGTGGGTCTCACAGTCATCTTCTCTTACAAATCCTGGACCTGGCACACGAGACAATCCTAATCAGCAGAATTTTGATTTCGATGGCGGCTTTGCAATGTTTGAGGTTGATACTGCCGAAGATGTCTATGTTGGAGTCTCAGCTCCAAATACTACAAGTTGGACTGGTACTTGGAACTATGAGATTGCTGCTTCCATCGATGCTCCCTTTCATACTATTGATGACAATTGGGCGAACTTGTTCTTCGTCGATGGCGATAATCACGCCGTTCTGCTAGTCACCAACGACACCACTCAGAGAAATTCCACGTCCGAGATCTACAATCAGTGGATGACTATTGCCCCACCATACGGCGTCTTTGCCCACAACCAGAATGACTCCACAATCTTAGGAGTACAGAGCTCCTTTTGCGGCTTAAAAAATCAAGCTCAAATCATGGCCAACATTCAGGGTGCCAACAGGCCAAACGTTGCCGGTATGGTCAACCGAGGCCTCGGCGGCAAGCCCAAAGAGCAATTCTACATAACTGACCTCAACGTCAGCTCAGCGTACTATGGCTTCCTTGCCATGGAAGGTAACTCCACCGCCTCCGGCGCCGGGGTTGTGGGAGGTGGCGGCAAAGTCTGGAGAGCCATGAATTTCAGGACGAAAGCCGAGTCCAATTGCGCCCTTCTCTACAATCTAACCTTCTGTTCCGAAGTCGCCTACGCCGTCCCCTCCAACCCAGACATCTTCGATCCCTCCACGGGAGTCCCCGCCCTGGCAGCCCGCTACGATTCGCACGCCGCCTCCTTATACCAAAATTTTAACTACTCGCTCCAACAAGTCCCCTGCAAAACCTCCAGCGTGCAACAGTACAGCCTCGCCCGCACCTGCGACGACTGCGCCCGCGCATACAAAACCTGGCTCTGCGCGGTCACCATCCCACGCTGCGAGGACTTCAGCTCCACGAAATCCTACCTCATGCCCCGCAACACGGCCGCAGAATTCGTCAACGGCTCCTCCCTCTCCAACCTTACGGACCTCTACAACCCTGCCAATATCACCACCTGGCAATCAAGGGTGGCGTCGAATTCGAGCAGAAACCCAATCATAGATTCCGATATCCGCCCGGGCCCTTATAAGGAGGTTCTTCCCTGTGAGGATCTGTGCTACGACCTCATGCAGAGTTGTCCGGCGAGTCTGGGCTTTGGGTGTCCCCTTGAGGGGAGGGGGTTGGACGTCAGTTATGGGAAGAGGGGTGGAGATAACGGGGAGATCACGTGTAGTTATCTGGGGGCGGCTCATTATCTTAGTGGGGGCGGGAGGGTTGTCACGGGTCTAAAGGTCGGGGTTTTCATGTTTGTGTTTTGGAGCGTGGTGCTTGGGTTATGATGAGATTGGACAGTGGTAGGGAATGTACTGCATGGGGCGGCGCATGGAATGGCTGGCTGGAGTTATCGAACAGCAGGTGCAATCGAGGGCGTCGGTTCTGGAGGAATATAGGGCGGCCTCGGGTCCAAGGCGTTCTATACCCGCCGTAAATACGCAGAAAATAACAGCATGTAATTCTGAGTATGATGTATATCACTATGCTGCTGCTGAAGGCCTTTTGCGCTTCATTTGCCCCCCTCTACACCACCCACCCTCCTCCTCGGTGTTTGCGTAGGTGTCCACATGTTCCTGAGCCCACTCCTATCATCTCCACCACCACTGGGGCCCTCCCAGCAACCGGCGTCCTGCCCACTCGATCCAGTAACCTCTTCGCCGCTGGGGTCAAACCGCCCGCCGCACTTCCCGCCTCCCTTGCCCTCGACCCCATTCCCATTCCCAGTACCCCCTTTCCAATCAACGGACTGCTAGGAAATTTCGGCACGTCACTTCCTCTCACCGCCACCACCACCACCACCACCACCTCCTCCAACCTGATTTGAATTAATCCTCTTTTTCTTCGACTCCCTCTCCACCATCCGATGATGCAGTTCCTCTCTCTTCCTCACTTCACCGATCTTGAAAGGATTCGGGGTTGCGTCTCCGACTTGTCCCGCCAGCAAATCGCGATAACTTGGTGACTGAGTCTCTTCTGGAAGTGGAATGTTTTCAGGTTCATCTTCATCGACGAATGCGTAGCCATTGACGCGGGGCGTTTCTCCACCGCTCCCAGCGCCGGTGTCTTGGATCTCGGAGGCGGACAGCCGTGGATTTCCGGCGATGGCGTCGCGGATGGCGGAGAGGGAGGGGCTGGATGGAACCGATGCAGCGTGCTCATTGTGGAGTGCCGGGGCAGGGAAGCGAGTGTTCGCGTGCACGACTCCCTTTGGGCCTGCGCGAGAACCGCGCTCCTTGGTCTCCGCTACTGTTTCGAGGCCGTCTTCGTCTACAGAGCTGGGAGGGAACATGAAGGTGTTGTCTGGCTTCTTGATCTTCCAGGCGTCCGGTTGGCACGGTTTGTCTGCACTGCCGCCAACTGTGATTGGCACCAACGCCTTTCCAGCCGCTTCATCTTCGACTTTTTGTGTAAGTAGTTTTGCTTCACGATTGCGGTGCGCGATTTGTCTGGCGGATGGAATTCGCTGATCCGGAGCCCAGAGATAGGCGTGCTTCTTGCGGCGCTTGTAGTTTTGTTTGTCGAGGAGGGCGTTGAAGGATTCGTTGTCTTCGGAAGTATATTTGGATTGGAAAGCCGAGAGCGAGAGAGTGGAAGTGTCTATCTCCGGCTTCTGGGTCGTTGATGCATCCTCAATCTCTGCGATGCTGCTGGCAGGGGTTTCGTCTCCGGTGAAGCCACGGGGCGTTGCGCCGTATGTTGCTCCGTACCTGGGTGTCGAGCTATTAGGTAAAGGAGTATTGAACCTGCTATTGCGAGCGGCACGTGCATTTCCGCTTCGGGTAGGTGGACCAGGGGTCATCACTTCTCGAAGTTTTGCACCTGCATCCGCGATCCAGGCCGGATTGTTGGACTCGAGCGCGGTCAAGTATTCTTGCTGGGTTTTGCTTTCAAGTAAACCGGGGAAGTAATCTCTTGCAATGATTTCGGAGAGTGCATCGGTGTAGTCATCTTCATCTAGAACTTTTGGAGGACGTTTTATGCGCTTTGGGGCTGGAGGGGGTCCCATCAGCGCAGAACAAGAGGGCAACTGCCGCTTTGTGAGGGCTGTAGACGACATTGCTGTGGAAGGAGAGGACATGGTGGCCCATCGGAAGAAAAGTGTATATGTTAGGACAAGGCAACGATATGTAAGAAGAGCAATCTACTACTACGTAGTAGAATTATGTATGGAAATGACCTACCACTAAGTTTATGCTTCACTGACAATCGATAGTTATGTAAGGAGTCTTGGCAGCTCAACAACCAAAATTGTGCCCCCGGAGAGCGCTACGGCTAAGAGGTTTGATTCTATGGTGGTTGAAGTAACTGGAGATCTAACCACAAAACTCGGATGAGATGACTCCACAGGCACCCGGCAGGCGTTTCTAACACCATAGTGTGCTCGAGAAATACTGGTATCAAAGTGATCTCACTTGACCTTATTCCAGGCCCAGAAGCCCAGCAATGCTAGTTGAACCACGGGGCATCGAGGGCATAAGAAGCTTCCTGTCTGTCTCCAGAGTCCCACGCTCGCCACCTCGACTGAGTAAATCAGTGATCCGCTTCTTCCCAACAGTCCTACACCATCTTGCGAAAGCCAAGTGCCTCTCTAAAGACAATTGATCTGATGTCCGCACATACGGAAGATTAAGGCAGAAACGGTTAATTCCTCTGCCAGCGACAGATGGCAGAGGTTGCAAATGATGTATGTTCCTTATCCATGTTATTTCACAAGACGGCGCTTCAATTCAGGGGTACGTATACTTCCTTGTTGACATGTCCCTGGTGCTCAATGAAATTGTCATATTGACAGAAGTCGTGGTGGTAATATCATGTCCGCGAACCACATGGAAGCGTCACCATTGGCGATACTCCTTCCAGTAGGACCAGGCAATATGCAACAATGCCAATATCGAGGAAGAAGTACCTCAGATTTCAGTACCATCGTCAACGCAATCTCCCCTCTCAAACCTGCTAAGGCTTACAGCGAACAGTAGAGGCCGTTGGTGAGACTATTTTTGAGATGAAAGCTTCTACGTCGTCTATCGTTAAGGATGAACGCTACAACACTACTAGCTTTGTTCAAATCCAGCTGTCTATCTTCCTAAACCATTTTACTATCCAGCATAGTGGGTAGTGTACCATTGGTTGTCCACAGAAATGGTACATTATCAATCACAGGACTCCCTTCCTGTAGAAGCACACCGGGTCCCAGAACTGAGGAGGACTGCACCTCCGCCCTGCTATGTGCTTTTCCTTCTTCCATGGCGAGCACCAAGCTCTTTCCAAAGAAAAGGCTGTGACTGGCACTACAGTATCAGTGTTGTATGCACGTAGGGAAGTATTGGCAGATTCTGGAGTATCAAGCGACTGCAATCGTCTTATATAAGTCATTCTAGAGGAGTTGCCCTCTCACAGTCGAATACTACCGCATTCAGCCCCATGTAAAATATGCCTCAACTGATCTACATTACCTACTTCCCCCTGATAAATCAACATTATCCCATACACACAGTACGGATTCGTGCACCAAAAGTTATTAGACTGCGTTAGAGATTTAACTTACTCAGAGGGAGTAGCTCCATCTAGTGCTTGATGATCACCAATATTGCAGGCGTATCATATCTGGAACGACCCCTAAACTCCACTAAATCTCTTTGTGAGGCTAGGAGTCAACTTTAAGGTGCTTAGCACCCCTAGTCTTCTGTCTAGATTCGTGGTTCCACTCCGTATAAACTTGCTGGTTGCGGTGGTACGAGACGAATTGATTGATTCTGGCAAGGTCTGGAGAAGAAGTGTTGCCACGAAGCAATGGAAGCTTACCGCCGAACGCCAAGCTTTATCACCACGTGACACTGGTAGTATTTTTAGACGGCAGCCATGGGTTTGCACTGCAGTTGCTAAGAGTTCACCATAATTTCGGCGTTAGTACTCCTTACCATGTGTGCTTATTCCCTGGTATTGACATTATCTCTAGCTGGGAAATATCTAAATAAAGTTCGGATGAAATATAGCTCCTTTGTGACAATTAACTTAATTAGCATGAAGCTAACCTTTTGTGGTACGACCCGCCGCTCGTGTACCGTAGCACAGCCGTGCTGCGCATACGTAGTAAGTGGCGGTGGTCTGGTATCGTATCGCCTGTACTATGACGCCTGCCTAGCTTCTTTCGGTAGCCATACAACTATGTTGGTTGTTTTATTACTCATGCCCATAACTTTCATCTGCAACTTGACTTCACATTCGACGGTTTCGTATTGTGTATCCTTGCACAGATATACTATTGTGTCAGATCCACAAGCTACTTCTCGAGGCCACTATGCTTCAGCGTCGCTGGCACGCACCCACGTCTTGGCCTGCGGACCAATCCTACAAAGCTTAGAGGATTGGACGTGTGACCAGCAACTGTACCAAGAGCATGGAGTGAGATCGTCTAAATTGTCAAGGTTTGCTGTAATGTTATGTGTTTGACGAAAAGGACCGCAACCCTTGGAGGACTGGAAGCTAGCTTATCTCTGACATTATGAGATCCTTCAGTGGCGTTGGATCCTCTCATTGGTACCGCTGGAGATACCGATATTCCAACTCATATGATCCTGCGTCATGTCGTGCACACCGAAAGACATGTCCAATGGCCCATTGGATGCCATTAACCGCGCTCTGGAAGCACTTCGCCAATTAAGGAGTGGGTACGAGCTGACAAAGCTACATGGCGCAGCATCGCCCCAAATAGAGCCAAAGCACGACTCAAAGGGGTGCAGGCTTAACAGAAACACCCGCAGAGATATATTTATATCCTGGACATTCCCCTTCGTGGCATGAGATATATAGCCCGCAAGCTGTTATCTTGACAAAACGACACAAACTCCCAGAGCAGACATCAATCTCATCCTGTGAATACAACCAACGTTACAGTACGGTGACCTCTCTACGAAGCATGGCCAGTTTTTCTCTTTCACAACTCTTTTCGGGTTCCTCCTCAGACGGGACGACCGGCTACAACACCAGTCAGGTTGTTCAAGTTCTTACTTTCCGCCCATCACCAAATCACCCAAATGTCACCCTGCTACAGCGAGAAGGCTCTCACGGTGAGACCACAACTTTGTACGCCAGCACGACCTCAAAATTCACAAAGCCCAACATCCAGATCTTCCGAGTAGTCGCCACCAGTACGGGCCTGCAACAAACAGCCATCGGCAATGCATCCTTCCATTTACTATCATCAACCACTGATCTCTCTTTGCACGGCCACTACATTACAATGAAATCCGGCAACCTGTCTAGCAGCTACAACTTCATGTACCCGCCCACAGGCAAGATGAAATGGAAAAGCAACTTCATGGGTACCGCGCTCGAACTTTTCGACAGCGCAGGGCTGAAGTTGGCACGGTACAAGTTCAAGTTTTCGTCGACGAGCGGAAAGAGATTGGAGATTCTCGTTCCGTGCGCCGACTCCTTCCTGGATTTGATCGTCTTGTCCGGAATGGCGGCTACGGTCAAGGAGCGTGAGAAGTTGAAAGCTGCCTCGGCGGCTTCGGAGGCGGTAGCGGGGGTATAAGGAAAATGACGAGATTGAAATTGAATGGCGGACACGTTACCCATCGATGGCTTCCAGCTAGGTAGGCAGGCGGGCCATGATTCTGCAAGTAGCAGCTAGAAATGATGCAGAAATAATATGCTAAATTATCCAAGAACAACGAGGTCGAACATTTCTAAGATCTCAATGCTCCAGGCCTTTCAAGTTGCTATCTATGAATTCCCCCTCACCCTCCCTCCTCCTCCTCCTCCTCCTCCTCCTCCTCGGGTAAGCACGTGAAAATTTGTGGTTGTACTCAAGCCAACGCCACCGATAACCGAGCCACCATGCCCGGAACATTCGGGTTCTTTTTACAGCAGACGTTGAAGCAGACGAGCAGACAAGGCTCGTGAGAGCTGCTCGAGCTAACTAGCGGTATCAGGAAAGTAAGTATTATACTCTGTCATGTGCTTGCTGTGCGCCCTAAAAGCGTCTGCGGAAGATGGATAGAATCTACACACATTCAACACACACAGAACTTGCTCTTTTTCTTCGTTGTTTCTACGCCTCTTTCTGTTAGGCCGTGGATGTCTAAACATACTTTCGTCAGCTCCCAATCCTTTGATCATTTCTGCGTTAGCTGCAGAACAGATGGCAACGACCCGTCCATTGGTCCCTACTACGTCTCTAGCCATCTGAACCGCCATAACTCATTACTATTAGATTAAAAGGTTTATAGCTTTAATGATTATACTAATATACTCCTAAACATATAAAGCTATTTAATTAGTCGTATGAGAGATTTTTATTGTCTGTCCGTATGTACTACGTTTCTTTTGTTACATATCTTTGTTTCTGCATGCCTTATATTTTGAGAGAGAATATTTACTCCGTAGAGTCACTTTCTTCTGCCCTACTTAGCATATATTTTTCGTTTAACAATAACTAACTGAAAATATATTTTCTCCTTGATTTTGTTATGTAATAGTATAAGTGACTGAATATGCTTCTTAGAAGAATACAATCATAAAAAGGCTTCAATGTACTCCGTCTATTCGTCAAAACCTTGAAGCCTTAAGAAAAACTATGCCACTATGCACTCTTTGCAATAGTATCACCCTATCTGCTCGCCAGTACAAGCATCAGCCCTCCTTCGCGGAGTTGTCCAAGTCAGCAGCGCAGTGCGATTTATGTAAGCTGATGAAGGATGTTCTTGAAGCATCTGGATGCCACAAGGCTGCTGAGGAGTACCGCGACCATAGGGATGGGAAGTGGGAATTAGTCAACGATACCAAGATTACCACCAGTGTCAACACGCACGACAACGAGGCAGATGAAGCATCTCTACCGCCATATCAACTGTTCGTGACGTGCGGGCCGCTTACTCGTGGAAATCGTTTCAACAAGGATGCGTATTCCGGCGCTCTGGGATATCGTCTCAAGGTGTATGTGGAGCAAGGTACGTAGTCTTGGGACTATACTATAGTACGTAGTCTTTCGACCTGTTGAGCATGCAGCAGGTAGCGCCGCGGCTGAGCACATTCCTACACGCCCCTTGGCGGCATGCGTCAACTCAGAGTCAACTTACCGCATGATCCGAGAGTGGATTTTAGCCTGTGTTAGCACTCATGATGTTTGCCAGCGCGCCTTGCGGCATGGTTCTCCACCAACAAAGCCACCGGAAGCCGCTATGGTGACTTCAGAGACACAGGCACCACTTCCTAGCCGACTTATCGAAGTTCTCAAAGAATCTGAAGATGGCATATTGCAGCTCCGTCTCCGTGACACTCGGGGGCTCACAGGCTGCTATGCGGCTCTCAGCCACTGCTGGGGCAGTACTCATCATCTTTCGACGAGCATATCATCCTTGAAGGAACGCCTAACCAACATTGACTTCACCAAATTGCCGAAAACATTTCAAGATGCTGTTACTGTCACAAGCCGTGTGGGAATGAAATATTTGTGGATTGACTCCCTATGCATCATTCAAGATAGCAAAGAAGATTGGGAAGGGGAATCAGCGCTTATGGGACAGGTTTACCACAACGCCTACCTGACAATAGCTGCAGCCGCATCGCCAAATGGAGATGGGGGTTGCTTTCATTCGCGTGATCTGCGAGATTCTCACGCGGTCACATTGCCCTTCAATAATGAAGATGGCAGTCCTGCAGGGTGTTGGTACGTCTATGATAGCCGGCACAACGAAGATACGAGCATACTGTGCAGCCCACTGCAGCAGCGAGCTTGAACGCTACAGGAGAGATACTTGTCGCGTCGGATCCTTCATTTCGCCACGGATCAACTTTATTTTGAGTGCAAATATTCTTTTGAAATTCGAAAACGGCCGAGCGGAAAAGGTGCACTATAATTCAGTCACCTTTGAAAACCAAGAGCTGTTACCGCTATATAGAAACCCGCATCTAGCACAGATCCCGGGAACTCGCGAGTTCATTGTTACCAGGCTGTGGATGATGCTCGTGGCGAACTACACCAGCCGAAAACTGACGTTTGGGAACGACAAGCTTCCTGCAATATCGGGCTTGGCTAGTCATATGGCACAGCTCATTCCAGACAAATACTTCGCTGGTATCTGGCAAGGTACCCTCTTCCAACACTGGCAGCTTTTATGGAGGGTGCCACCGTATCGAGACAGCCGCGTTGGTGGACGCACTGCTGCGTGTGCTGGGCGTGCTCCGTCTTGGTCATGGGCTTCTGTAGATGGGCCTGTCCTCTTCGCACACGCATGGACGAGTGAGCTCGAGCCAGGTCATGGGAGTGGCGCCACGGATGACATGGAAATGAAAGTCGAGTTAGTTGGCAGCGATTCGTACGGACGGGTACGTTCGGGCGCATTGACAGTCACTGGCTGGCTCGTGCCTGTTTAAGTACTACCATCCGATTACGGAAGCTGGGAGCATTGGACCTTTTTGCAGATGGCAAGGTGGGCTTGTCGAAAATGCCATTACAAAAAGCCTTACCGGGCACTAGAAGGATATGACATTGTGCAAGCTCAGGAGCTGGATGTCTTCGGTGCTGCGGCCTTCGATGAGGTGTTGGAGAGCAATGATGGCCTCCAAGCGCTCCTGTTTCTACAACAAACCGGTGTGGAAGAGATGAAGAAAGAGGGTCATGTCAACAGTTTTTTCGTGTTGTTTCTTCTTCCGACTGGGACCAACAACAACGACGGTAGTCACGGTACGTATAGACGGATTGGCATGGGCCATTTGGTCATGAGTCGGCTCCTCGGCTGGAGTCGGGACGATAAGAGGAGAATCACGATTGTTTAGGTAAGTACCACGTAGATGGTTCTTTGCAAGCAAGTGTTTCGCTCTTCTGATACTGATGGGAGATGATTGAGAAACAGGATAGTAATCCCAGTCTGTTTCGAAGACTGTCATATATCTAATACGGCGGGTATCAGTCCTGACCCTCTCTTTCCCACTGTCTTTACTTGCACCAGTATGGTTGCCTTCTAGCATTATGGGGATTGTATGCTAGCGTTTACAGGGCCAAAGTCGAACCGGGTGACTTATTTCTGAGGAAGGCAGCAAGAACAGCCAACCAAACTGGGAGCCAAGGTGCGGTCCAGATTCGGTGCAGGATACCTTAGAATCCCAAAGAAGCGTGATCACAATTGTAGTAGGCAGCTCAATCGTCCTGCATAGCCAAATACCGGGCTGTAGAGACAGCAAGTCCTACTACGGTCATCTAGGTCGGAACAGAAGAAATGTAGGGAAGAATGGAGTGTGGAGATTGAGGATGTGAGTCCAAATGGGACTGTGAAGAACATTCGTAAAAATGCTCTTTTGAAGACGTGGCCGGCAGCTCGTTGGAATACTAGGGCAGACATAGTGCCAAGACCACTGTCACGTGACTCCGCACCCTATTATATTAGCCTGCTCCTCCTTCTTAGATAGATTCTGCAGAGTAGACACCACCTCATCAGTTTTTGAGTCATTTGATAGCTCAATTATCCTACTGCCTATATGGAGGGTTCAGAATCTTAGATTAAGGTTTCCGACGGTAACCGGTGGTTGCCGCTACTAGCGCAGATTTCTGACTAATCCGAATTTCCGTCATTTTATGGTAGGATGGATAGATGATATCAACTAAGCAAGCCAGTGGAATGGAAATCAGACACAGGCCAATCACTTCAGCTCAAGCCATTGCATCTGCTCTTCTCAACAATCTACCAGCTACTACCGTTCACCCAAGCTGCCACCCATGTCGTCGGATATCCCCTCCCACCCAGATCTGACATCCCCCCATCCGCCGTTCTCATCGCTCCCGCTCGATCCCAACGGTCCACGGGGCAATGCGTGGGGTAGGTTTGGAGATGCCGACCAATTGGGCATGCTGAATCTCTTGACGCCTCCGGTCGTCGCAGCTGCCGCCCAAGAAATCGTCTCAGGCGTCCGCATCTCCCTCGACTGGCCGCTCAACAAACCACTCTACCCCAGCTATGGTAGAGACCCATATCAGCACGAAATCAAGCAGCGAGGGGGTCCCGATCGCGTGGTCAATGATGACATCCTGAGCTTCAACACTCAGATAAGTTCCCAATGGGATGGTTTCAGGCATTATGGTGTGCTCCAACCCCATTGTCCGGAAGATAGCATCTTCGTCACTGCAACCTGGCTTATCCGAGTGAAGGATACTTGAAAGAGCAACGGTATTACAATAATACCACTCACGACCAGATTCACTCGTCTTCTACAATAGGCATCGATGGTCCGCCCTCTCTTTTCTCCTTGTTGTCCGGCAAGGGGGGATCCGAACCACTGACATTACTCTCACTCAGCCTGGGCCTCCAAAGGTGGCATCGTAGGTCGCGGCGTCCTCCTCGACTACCACTCCTGGGCCCTCAGAAATTCTACGCCCCTCGCACCTCTGTCCTCTACAGCGATACCTTTCTCACATCTCCAACGCGTCATTGCCGACCAAAACGTCACTTTTCGCGCAGGCGATATCCTCTTCATCCGTAGCGGCTTCACTGCGGCCTATAACGCTCTTTCCACTGCCGAGCAGCTTGCACTATCTAAACGACCGAGCGCCGATTTCATGGGTGTCGAGCCTACAGAGGAGGTTCTAGAATGGCTTTGGGAAACTCAATTCGCTGCGGTCGCTGGAGATTCGCCTTCGTTTGAACGCTCACCCGTGGGGTGCGGGAAGTATAAGTATGATCCCCCGCCACCAGTCGTGCTGCATGAGTGGTTACTTGGGGGATGGGGGATGCCTATTGGAGAGATGTTTGACTTGGAGGAACTGGCTAACCATTGTTCGTGAATGCAAGAGGTGGAGCTTTTTCGTGAGCAGTATTCCTCTAAAGGCGAGTGATGCTCAATCATTCGCATCTTTAACAGGCGGATTTTTCGAAATTTTGGGAAAACCTAACTGAAATACAGGTCCCCGGCGGTGTGGCAAGTCCGCCGAACGCCGTCGCTATCTTCTAGTTGGGACATATCAATCTGATTGTTTGTGCGGCACGAGGACTAAAGGGTGAATACACAGTAAGGGTACGGTAGATGTAAATACCAACCCAGACCGGATCAAAAATAGCGCTCTGGTCACCAAGTCCTTCACCTGAACGGGCCGAACGAATAAAGTAGCTATCGACGAGCGGACTCCACGGCAGCCGAGGCAAGACGCCTCGAGAAGCAGATGTTCGGTCTCTGATTTATCAGAACGTCATGTCTTGAAACTTTTCAGAGTAGAGATAGGTTAAGGAAACTCGTCTCCTCTCTTCAACATAACCTGCCACATTGCTTCCTCCAACTTCTTCTCTTTAACAGCTTTTTCAGTGATTCCAGATTGTTAGACGACACAGGCAGAGTGTGCATGCTAAAGAGTACTTGTCCTGGGTCATCTGTAGCAAGTCCAATCACTTGTACATGACAAGTGCGCTTCATAGGCAAGGCTGGTGGTTGGAAGGAACGTTCAGCCTTCATACTGTGGTCGCCCGGGGCTGGGAAGGATGAAATCTACTGCAGCGTGAGTGATGAAATTGACTCATGTACCGCCTTGTGCCCAATGTAGCCCTTCTGGTTGTCCATGGCGGTCAAGGGAACAGCGGCGATGGAAGACGAGGTAGAGTTGCGCGTCGCTAACCGGCGAATCACCTTCAAATACAACTGATGGTAAAAACAGCATCCAGTGCGTGGGCTTGGAGATGAGTGCGAGAGCAGATTTTCCTCTCCTTCAGTCGCCAAGGGGCCGCTGGCTTGGCACCACAAGGAGAGCCATGATTTCTCTTGCATCGTCTGAGCAGTTTCCGTTTGTTCCACCACAGCTGTTGAAGAAGACAAAACAGAGGGAGTTCAACGTCATATGCCCAATGCCCCTGACCCGGTTGGCCTCTTGACCACTACTGTTAAAAACCAAGCGTTCGAGACCCCAAGATCCATACAATGACAAAGAGAGCACGACGAGAAAAGAGATGTCTCGGTTCATGTGCAGAAGCATCCTGTTTCTGAGGGTCCAAGCATCAGAAATGGGGCAGATTGATACTAGCCCACGTCGCCTTGTAAGCTTCGGGAGGCAAGAAGAACAGCGTCCTCACGCTCTCGACAATGAGAAACAATCTTGCCAGAACATAAGTTAATCCCAAAATGAACAAAGTGGTCTTTCTTAATGGCCACATAATTTTAATCAGTGACTGCACCGGTTCAGAAATCCACCTAAAGTCTACAGTAGACAACGCAAAATATAGGAGGAGGTTGTAAGACATGGGTTGATACACCAAGTAGATACTTGTCAGGGGAAGAACTGTCGTTAGCACCGAGCTTATCCTCCAGAGCAATGCTTCTGTACCCGTCGGAAAGTCAAAATTCCAGGCCAGACAATGGAGTCCCCCAAAAAGAAGGCCCCCCAGCGATAAAAGAAATTCAAAGGTCGCATTTCCTTCATACTTACCAATTGCGGACGAATAGTAAAAATCGTAAGCCTGTCCTGTTGAGCCCTTGCCAATGCGCGCAGTAGCGTCATTGGGAATTGGAGAAGGGCCGAGATCTGGGAAGACTCGGGGTGCAGCGCCTCCAAGCCAGAGAGATCCCGAAGGGTATCTGTCGATAGCATCTACCAACCGCTGAAAGTCCACTGTGGATAGCTTTCTGTTTGGCTGGATGACATAGAAAGACTGCACATTTTGTGGACGGGTCCAGTACAAAGCGTAAGTGAAAACGCTACTTACAGCAAAGGCGAGCGTGGCGACCTCTAGCTGAGAGACGGGGAGATTTTGGGATTGGCGCACAATAAGCTGAATGATCACGTAAATGATCTGAACCAGAGCGAGTAATGTGACCAGTGCGTCCTGTCCACCCAACTGCTGAAGCTGAGCATGGGAAAGTTCGGGGAAATCGACCAAGTTGGGCATTACCTTGGAGATCTCGTGCCACTGGGCGACATTGAGAGCCCAGTATCGTAACTTGAACTGTTTTGATTTGCAAAGTCGCGGGTAATTCTTCAACCGGAAAGCGTTTGTATAGAAATCATCCCAGAACTTATCGCGGTCGAAGCCGGGCTCTGCGGACACCCTCTGCTTCGTATCCTGGCTCGAATTATCTGCTACATCTTGTATTAGACCCTTGGTATCGAGGACGAAGTAACCCATATTGGCCAAATGCGCCTGGGTCACAGTAGGGGCTATCTGTACTCCGTGATTTCTGGCATTTCTCGCGGCGAGTAGGTCCGTGAGCGCCTTCGCAATGATATATTCCGGCACGAAAATCGTAAGGGCCATCCATTTGGCTTTGGGCCAGGAGTCTTCAATCAACCTCCCACATTTCCGGAAGAAGGTCTTGGGCTCAGGTCGAATAACAGGGACGTTGAGGTGTAGAATGCTCCAGGTGCATAAAAGGATAATCAGCAGGCATTCCCAAAGAATGCCCAATGTGCCTCGAGCATTCGGATTGGCGACATAGTTTGTATCAGAGGCTGGGAGCGTGCAGTTCCCATTGAATGCACTCCAGGCTGTAGTGCGCCCGAAGAGCAGTGTTCCAACAACGATCATTGGCAAGCTCAACATTTGGGAAGCCATTCAAGAATCTTGGTGCGAACGAAGAGACTGATCGACTTAAGGCTCGAAGACCATCTCAGGAGAGGTGCCCATGCTTATATCAGTCCCCCGACAGAGGAAACGATTGCCTTCCTTGTCCACCTTCACTCAGTTGGGCATGATCAGGCTTGCGCCAAGAAAGCAGACGAATCGCCAGGCCGGCCATTAGCAAGGAACAAGGCCTGTAACTGGGAGCCACCGGTTCGGCCTGAGGTCTCTTGCAAGGCTGAGGCTTGGTAGGTAGGATCGTAACCGCTGAACGACTTTTTGGAGAAGATTTGCTAGGATTGATGCTTCTGGTCACTCGGCACGCTGTGATAGATGGCAGAAATGGGCCTCGAGGAGGTCTGCCGTCTGAGTTTCGGGGCTTGGGTTACCTTGAACCAATGAATGTTCGCAGACTAGGCTGCACGAGGGTCAGCGCTAAAATAGGCGAACAAAAATGAAGTCGTGCAAGCTGCTGCCTAGAAGAACTAACCTTAACTACTAGGCGTTGTGCCTCCGGCTCACCCCTCCGCGAAGGTGAGCTCGGGGCAGATTTTCCTCTAACTACTTGGCAGATTCTGGTCCTTTTTCTGTTGGTACTACTGGTACGGAGTACTACGTACTATGCGAAGGGTTCAAGGATCCCACACTCATACCTTGAAGGATATGGATTTAGAGTAGCCATCAGTGTTCCACCCGCCATGACCTCCACCCCATCGCACCCTAAAACCCCACGCTCCCCCAGCAAACCCAAACAAGAAACCGTTACCCACACCATCCGTCCCCTCCCCTACACCTACATCCACCTCTCGCTCTCCCAACCACCCGGTCCCACCCCGCGACCCTCGTCGACTCCTCCTGCTGCCCTCGACATCCTCACCGCCCACACAGCCCTCCAATCCGCCTTGACCCGTTTCCTTGGCCTGCACGGCAGCGCCATCTCCATCGATATCCTGCACGTTGCTACCGCGCGGCACCTACGGAAAGGGAGGAGAAGAGGGGCGGAGGATCGGAGATGGGTGAGTTCTGGATCCGAGTGCCGCGGGAGGATGGGGATCAGGTCCTTATTCGGAGTCAATCAG